AGGTCGGAGATGATGTAGCAGACGAGTTTTGAGCTCTCTGAGAAATTTCAAGATACGGGTTTTTGTCTCGGCACAAAGGAAAATTCTCCTGTAGGGCGCTACTGCTTTTCCCTTGCCGCAGGCTCTTAGTTTCCCAAGGTGGAACCAGCGTACAGAAATTTATTTCCAGATAGAGTTACTTTGTGCAATTAAAATCTTTGATTCTGTTACAGGAGATGCTAAAACAGAACAAAAACCTGGAGAGAAAAAGAGGGGAGTGAAGAGACCACGTGAGGACCATGGTCGTGGATATTTTGAATACATTGAGGAAAATAAGTACAGCAGGTAAGTAAAACTGATGCTGGGCAGCATGTTATGAACAAGAAGTAAAATACAGAAATGCCCATCTTAATGGTTTGAAAATACATGTAGGTTTATTAGGTTTTGTTTATTTTTGTCTTGTTCAGGGCCAAGTCCCCTCAACCACCTGTTGAAGAAGAAGATGAACATTTTGATGACACAGTGGTTTGTCTTGATACTTGTGAGTAAACATGCCTCCTTTACCTTTGAACGATGTAGTGATACACTTTTAATCTCAAAACCATTTTCTGAAATGTGGAGTGAATACGTTTGTCGACTTCCCTTACCAAATAACTTAAAGAAACAAACACCCCATTTAGAGATGGTGTTTCAACCCCCTTTTCAGTATGCAAAAGAGCAGACAGATATATGCTAACGGGTCTTTACGTTAGCAGTAAGAACCTTAGTTTTCCAGTGAACACTGATATCATAGTTTGTTTTTTGTTTTTTTTTTTTTAAAGAAATCTTCATCAGAACATTTACCTGTTACAGAGACTAAGCTGGCCAAGTGTAGAGCGAGCATGGAACACCCTTGTAATGACACGAGAAGCTAATTGTGTAGCACATGAGCTTTTCACTTCAGGAAGTTCAAAGAGTGAATATAGTTGTAGGTGGTTACAGTAGTACGGTTTGTGACACGAGCTTCCTGGTCTAACTTGCTGAGGGTCTATTTATGTACCAACTGGTGGAATAGTTTTTTTCATGGTTTCTGATAAATTAAAAAAATCAGGTAAGGCCTCCTGAAAAATGACCTATTTGTGCAGCCTGGGAGTTTGCAGGGCCCTGGGGGGTGATTTGTGCCAAGGGCATAGCAGAGACAATTGGTTAGAAGGGCACAGAAATTGACAAGTATGTGCAAACTGGGGGAGTTTCTCTGGAGGCAGGCTATAAACCTCACTACTGTTGTCAACTTTGTGTCAGCCACAAAGTTGACATTTGTATTCTTCATAGTAAGAATAAAGACTTAGTCGTGTTTTCTAATAATGCACTAAGTAATCCTTGAACTTGTTTGCTTCTTAAAGTGCCATGTAAAGAAAGCTTAAATTTGGCATGTTCTGGCATATTTGCTAGTAATTCCAGGTGTTTCTTTCAAAAAAAAAAAAAAAGTTTTGAAGTGGAAGGAGGTGTTTACAGCCCTGTAAATCTCTGACTACGCCATCCTTGACATTTTGGTAACTAAATCTCAAGTTTCTAGCTGCTAACCTGGTGAGTTGCCACCTTTTGTCAGAGCTTTTGATTTTCCCAGTAACAGAGCAGTAGCTAATTTTCATTATTATTTCTGGTAGAAAATGTTGTTCCTGGACAAGCTATGATTTAAAGTGTTGACAGACTGCTTGGAGATCAGAATCAAACACAGCTTTAAGACTGAATTGTGTAACAACTTGGCACCTCTTTTCTGGACCGTGATGGTCCAGACATATAAGACGTTTGGCACTCTTAGGTACTTTTTACTAGTCTCTTGCAAGGAAGCTGTAACTTCAAATTCTGTTATCATTTTTTGTTCTGAAAGTAACCTATGCAGGTGGGTTTCTTCTCTGTGATTTTATCTGGTTTTCATGCAACAAAGAGAAGTTAAAAGTAGTAATGAGAAAACACTCAGATCACAAATATTGCAGTGCAGCTGGTGATAGCTGTATGCAAACAGAACAAGAACTCATGCATGAGAGCTACCAGTCATACGGGCAAGACTGCATTTTAGTGTTCTTTGGCAGCAGGCAGATTTTGTACCAGGGCAGAACTTGCTCATTTTCCTCCTTTCTTGTAACCATCAGATAGGTTTTGGAGTTTCCTCTGGGGAATTCATGTGCTGTATCCAGCACCTCATGTTACCGTTCTGTATTTTCTTTTTGAAACCTGCTACAAGATTAATATGTTTCATGGTGTGCAGCTCTGAAGATACCTGTAAAACAAAGGTTCCCCTTAAGTTCTCAGAGCGATAGGAGAATTCATAATGCAGATCATGTTTTGCAGGTGAAGGAGGTTCTCTTACCACGTTCTGCATGCTTAACCTATTTATAGTTGACTTAAAATTATTTTAATTGATTTAATCTAATTGTGCTTGGTAATGGACTATATTAGCTAAACACAATACTACTTTCCGTACTTATAAATACTTAAGGTTCTTTTTTTTCCTCATCTGTCCTTAGGTTTGGGCATGAGGGGTAAGAAGACTTTAAAAAAAGACCTAGCGAATAATGCAAAGGCTACGGTGCAGATTCCTTTGCTCTATATTGATGGGAACATCTCAGATAACTGACAAAAAAAGTTCAAGTAGATGAGGTGAAGTTTGTGGTTTTAAGCACATGGAAAAAAACAGAGTGAATTTGGTGCCAGAAGTGAATATGGGACCTTGAAAATTACTCTCGTTAGCTAGCTTTTCCTAAGATTCTTGGCTGAGTGTCAACCTGCACCTCCATCTAGGCATGTGTTCAGTTGCTTTCCTGAAATATGCTGAGCACTTGCTGGCAGTTTGTCTTGAAAATCACCTTTAATGCATAAAACTGGACAGCTCTACTTTGTTTTGTAATAAGAGTAAACAGAATGGTTTTTATGTTAACAGATAACTGTGACCTGCATTTTAAAATCTCAAGAGATCGATTTAGTGCTTCCTCTCTGACCATGGAAAGCTTTGCTTTCCTTTGGGCTGGAGGGAGAGCTTCCTATGGAGTTTCTAAAGGCAAAGTCTGCTTTGAGATGAAGGTGAGTTGAAGTGATGTTTTACAGAAGACTGTTTTGCATGCTTAAATATAATACTGTTTATACTATTCAGGTTTTTTGGATGTTGAAACTAAATCAGGTGAACAGGACTTTCAGAAGGCCTTCTCTTAAGAGCCTGTAAAGATGTCTCAGTTGGCAAAACGGCTTCCTTTTTCCATTTAACAACAGCAAAAAACAGGCAGCTTGCACTTGCCCTGAATGTGTTAACTTCTCATTTTTGAACCAAGAATTTTATTCAGCACCTCATGCATCAACACTTTAAGAATTTTGATGGTAGACAGACATTTGCTTGTTCTTTCTGAAGATTACAGAAAGCTTGGCTTTTTTTAAAACTGGGATATAAATTATCTCAGCATTCCTTTTTTTCTGTTCCTACTTAATCTTTGAATTTGACCTGCTCTAAGCAGGGATTTAGGCTAGATGACCTCCAGAGGTCCCTTCCAGCCTGAATACACTTGTGTACACAGTGAATGTGAGTATTGAGCAGGTTCTTGAATTCTGAGAGCAAGAACTCTGCTAAAGGGTAAGAATAGCAATGGGCAGTCAGCCTTGTAATAAAGAGATTTCTCCAATTTGTTGATGAAAGAATAAACAGAGGCACAGAGCTTGGGGTTTGGGTTTTGTGTTTTATTTTTATTTTTTGTTTTTTTCTTCTCAATATTAAAGGCTTCCTTGCACGTGCTGTGCCTGTATATAGAGACACTTGCTCTTCTCTTCCTCTAGTGTAACTGCTGCCCTGAGGAGTAGGCAGCAATCCCATTCTCCTGCTCTTGCACTGGGAGATTTCTGTGTCTCTTGGTACCTACAGCTTTATAAGGCAGAGGTAGTGAAATTGATGCCAGTACTTATGTCCTGTTCACTTCTAAATCAGTTTCCCCCTGGTCACCTGACTGAAATAGTTGGGAGACTGGTAGGGTACTGGTCAGTTTTTTTAGTTTGGTGAAGTTTGTAAAGGCACTTAGAAAAGAGCTGGTTTTGTATGGATTCCAGTACTTCTAGGTGGGTTTTTTTTGAATGTGGCTATGTTGTTTGGAATCTGGCAACTTGCCCAGAAAGTCTGCTTATTGTGGAAAGGGATGAGTGTAATATTTTCCCCAGTCTCTGTAAAGCCGTTTTTTTGCCCATTACCACATTTTACTGGTAAAGAGATTTACTGTAATTACCAACTTTGTGATGATTTTAAAAAAAGTCTACATCTTGTTTGTGATTTTTAATATACAGTATCAAAAGGATTACAGTTTTTGGCCAGTTGGAGCAGGATTAAGGTTTTTCAGAGGGCCTGCTGTGACTAAGTGCCTTGAAGGTATACAATGTCTTATCTTCATTTCTCAGTCTGAGATGTAACTATTGAGTCATTGGCTTCTGTTTTCACATACTTCAGCATGTTTTGTTTTTGCAGAAGGTGATAACTCAGGCTTAGCAAAGATTTAACCAAAGTGTAAAGGTTCCAAATGTTACCTTTGTGCTTCCATCTTGTTAGTATCTAACAAATACTACATACCTTTTCATGAATAATTTAAAAATAGGTTACAGAAAAGATTCCTGTTAAACACCTGTATACAAAAGACATTGACATACATGAAGTGCGAGTTGGCTGGTCACTGAACACAAGTGGAATGTTACTTGGTAAGGCTTAAACATTTTATTACTTTTGTATTGCTTATTGTGTATGTGGTTGAAGTTTTGAGTAATTTTTGCTTAAGCAGGTGGGAAAAGTTTAGTGGCTGTAGTCCAAGTTCTGAAAAATGGACTTGGCTCACTGGATGAGGTAGGAGAAAGCTCTCTGCTGGGACAAATAGAGTTATGAAGTATTCAGGCCTGTGAGGAGGACATGATTACATAGTTAATTCTTCCAGGGATTGAGCATGGGTTCTGGAGAACATTCTTAAAGACTGACAAGATTTGGGAGTTTTTTTAGGTACTGGCATAAATAGGAAGAGGAGGGGGTTTTACCTTTTATTTTAAAGGGTGGGGTGTGGTGTAATGTTTAACCAGTGAAGAAAAAATCCTGGATATCTACAATAGCATTCTTTTAGCTGGGGGGAGAAACCTTATTTCTGAAATCAGCTAGGAGGGAAGAAGTACAGCTTCATTAGATTTATGGGAACTGGTCATAATACCTGCTGCTGAGACAAATTTGTGGGAAACGTTTATGAATTGGTATGTTCTGGCATCAGCAGGAGCTTTCTAGTTAAGTTCCACCTGAGTCCTTGTGTTTGACACCTCCTGTTAGCTTGTTCCTTGCAGCTTCATCCTCAGCTGTCGCATAGGCTGAATGTCTGCCAAACTCCCTTTAAAATGGGGAGGGGTAAGTGCTACTGGAGACTAAGTTCAGAAAGCCTTTCTGACTAACTACGTTACAGGTATACTGGTGCAAAACCAGGTCTTCAGAGTTTAAAAATACTTGCTCGTGTCTTGATCTGACAATTCAGCTTTATGACAACATGCATCTGGAACCAGCAGCATAAGGATCTTAAAACTTGGAATGAGGGAAGCGCTGCTGCTCCATCTCAAGTGAGAGTGTTCTTGAATACAAGAACGAGCTGTAGCTGTTGGGAGGGTCATGGCTTGCTTTGTTATTAAGTAAGCTGCTATTCTGAATATTTTTATTAAGTATCTGTAAAGTGATTGTATTTCTGAAAGGTTATTTGAAAATGACTGGTTTTAATAAGTTTAAATTATTTCTTCAGGTGAAGAAGAATTTTCTTATGGGTATTCTCTAAAAGGCATAAAGACATGCAATTGTGAGACTGAAGACTTTGGTGAGAAGTTTGATGAAAATGATGTTATTGGATGTTTTGCTGTAAGTTTTCACTTAAATTTTCTTTTGAGGAAAAACATCCTTGAGTTTTTTAGACTGCTTTGATGTGAGAAGCAGTAAACCCAGTGCAGAAAAATTTGGAGCAGGACAAGTTGTTTAACATAGTACTTGGTATTTCTACGTCCTGTCAACAGTGACTGCTCTCAACATGTGAAGATTTCATGTTCAGACAAATATCTTTAAAAACCTTTCCTTTTTTAAAAAAAAAATCCAATCTTGGATGAGATGGTCATTGACAGTAACTCATTTGAAGAGAAAACTTTTAAGTAGTTCTTTTATGACATAAGTGTTAGAGAAGTTGAGTGAATATAGCCAATATAGTGAAATGACTAATAAAACTTTATAGAGCAAGGTGAGTAATTTTATCCAAACTAACATTTTGTCTGAATACCAGAATTTTGATGGTGATGAAGTGGAACTCTCATACTCCAAGAATGGACAAGAGCTTGGTGTTGCATTCAAAATAAGTAAGGAAGTTCTTGATGGGCGGCCACTCTTCCCACATGTTCTCTGCCATAACTGTGCAGTTGAGTTCAACTTTGGTCAGAAGGAGGAACCTTACTTTCCTGTACCCGAGGAGTATACCTTCATCCAGAAGGTACCTCTGGAGGATAGGGTCAGAGGACCAAAGGGACCTGAGCAAAAGAAGGATTGTGAGGTAAGTTTCTTGTTGGTAATATCAAAGTTCTTGAGATAGATGAACAGAAGTGATAGAATTTAAGCAGACTATTGTACAACTCTGTCCTTTTTGTCTTGGGGCTTTAATATGTGTACCCTGTGACTCTTCAGCTGCACACACACCCTCATCCCTGCTTAGGGCTTGCTGGCCTAAGTTGCATATCAGAAGAGAATCTTTGAACTAGCATCTAAAGTGTAGAACCTGTCGTCACAGGTGGTGATGATGATTGGCTTGCCCGGAGCTGGCAAGACTACATGGGTTACCAAACATGCAGCGGCAAATCCTGGAAAATACAACATTCTTGGGACAAATACTATTATGGACAAAATGATGGTAAGTGCTAATGCAGCATTTTAGGTGTTGATGTGTTAAAGACTTTCTGTAAGTCCAGAGTCTTTGGCTGCCATGGAGTTCTTTTGTATCCAAGAAATCTAAGAAACTGGCCAGTGGTTAGCTGGTGACCAGTACAGATTTTTACCGTGCTGAGCTGTTAACTGATGCACGGCACAGCAGGATTCTGAGTTTTTCCGTGGTACTAGATAAGAAATGGTCAACCATTTCTGAACTGGAGGTATTTCTGTTTCTCTGTATGTCACTGTCCTCAGAACAAAACATTTAGCTTTGAATTAGTAGTGTGATGACATTAATACTCAGCTGTATTGATTCACCTAGAGTCTTTGCTTATAATGCTCTGTGTCTTACGGAGGCTTTGGGAATTTCAGCTGTGAGCTTGTAGTCGTGGCCTTGAATTTGAACAACCCTTGAGGCGAGGTGAAAGGCATTTAGCAAAGAAAAATGTCAGCCACATGCATGAGGGCTATTTTAACTCTGGGAAATCTCTCTGTAGGTTGCAGGTTTTAAGCGACAAATGGCAGACACTGGGAAACTTAACACGCTGCTGCAGAGAGCTCCGCAGTGTCTTGGGAAGTTCATTGAGATTGCAGCTCGTAAGAAGCGGAATTTCATTCTGGATCAGGTAGAAGCTTCAGTGAAAAATGGTTGAGGAAGTTCATTGTAGTCTGTAGCGCGGTGACTATATGGGAGTAAAGTTACGTTGTAATTGCAGTTGTTTCATTTACTGACTTACTACTTGTTCACGGGACACAAAGTTGAGATATTACTACAAATGCTTGTTTGAACTTCTCTGGATTATGGGATGTGGGAGGAATAGTGTTTTAACGTGTGGATATGAGCTCGTAACTTTGCATTATGCAGCGTCTTTATGTCCAGTTATTTGTAAACTTCATTGCAAGCTCTTGTAGAGGTGAAGTCTATACACCATAAGTTGACTTCCTTAATTCTTACAATGACAGCTACGTGTAGTAAGTTACTGCATTTTTTTCAGACAAATGTGTCTGCAGCTGCGCAGAGGAGAAAAATGTGCCTGTTTGCAGGCTTCCAGCGCAAAGCAGTTGTTGTTTGCCCAAAAGATGAAGACTACAAGCAAAGAACACAAAAGAAGGCAGAGGTGGAGGGAAAAGATCTTCCAGAGCATGCAGTTCTCAAAATGAAAGGCATGGAACATAATCCTATACTGTGTTTTAGGATGCTGACTATCTGTTTAAAGGATTAAGTAAACGTGAAGTCTAAAAAATCACTTTATCTTAAACAGTTGTACTTAAACAGAACTGGAAGACTATTGTAACTTTTAGGATAACACTATATTGTGTTCCCTCTGCTGCAGTCCTTAACACTACTCAGTTATGCTGATACGCTTCATGCAGATGCACAAAGCTGTCTTGGCATAAAGTGCCCTATATAAGTGACACATTTGGCAGAAACTGGTGTTCTGAGTGGAGGCTTATAAAAGCAAAAAGATATAGGCAGAATGCTTTCAAGGTTTGGAACAGTACTGGCAACTCCATGAAGACCTGTTTATTCCTTTGTCACTGTTACATTTCTTAAATGCTCAAATTACCTAATTTTGTCCCTATGCCAAGGGAATGTGGGGGGTGGGAGGAAGACTGAGGGAAAAGTGGTTAAATTATGGATTTTATTGTAGCTGACTGTAGATGCTGAATACTCAGTGTTTTTGCAATTATAGGGAACTTCACACTGCCAGAGGTAGCAGAATGTTTTGATGAAATAATCTATGTAGAGTTGCAAAAAGAAGAAGCTCAAAAGCTTTTGGAACAATATAAAGAAGAAAGTAAGAAATCCCTTCCGCCAGAAAAGAAACAGAACACTGGCTCAAAGAAGAACAAGAAGAGCAATAAAAATCAATTTAATAGGGGTCAGAGAGGACGTGGAGGATTCAACATGCGTGGCAACTTCAGAGGAGGAGGCAAGTCTAGAAATAAACTTAAATCTTGGAGACTGATGCTGTTGGGGGTGGAAAGGATCTATCTATCTTACAAGAAGAAACTTCTTTACTGTGAGGGTGACAGGGTACTGGAACAGGCTGCCCAGTGAAGTCATGGAGTTTCCTTCCCTGGAGGTAGACAGAACCTGCCTGGATGTGATCCTGGGCAACATGCCCTAGGTGAACCTGCTTTGGGGGGGGGATTGGACTGGATGATCTCCAGAGGTCCCTTCCAACCCATAGCGTTCTGTGAAAACAGCTTGTAGCGCTTGCATTGCAGTTCTTACATAGCGGGAGCCTTGACTTCAGCTTCAGTAAGTTGAATGTATTAGTGCAAAGTTAACTGTCCAGCTTTAAAAGTGAAGATTGTCAAGATCCTGCATTATGTTGCTCATGTGGTTTGAGGCACAGCTTTGAGTTTTTATGTTGGGTTTGTTCATGTGTGTATCAGGCCGTACTGGGGGGTGGTGTGCAGTTAATTTAATGTTTTCCACTTTGACCAAGTGGATTAATCTTTGCACTGAAATTTTTGCACTGTATTTGGACATCTTATTTCTATTATCGTCATTATTTTGAACGGTAATCTTCGTGTAAGAAATAACGAAGACCTAACAGTTACTTGATTGAGGTTGCTCTCTCCCTGCAGTCCCTGGCAACCGTGGTGGGTACAACAGGAGGGGAGGCAACATGCCCCAGCGAGGTGGTGGAGGTGGCGGCGGTGGCGGTGGCAGCAGCGGCGCGATTGGCTACCCCTATCCTCGTGGGCCTGTCTTCCCAAGCAGAGGTGGCTACTCCAACAGAGGGAACTATAACAGAGGTGGAATGCCCAACAGGGGAAACTACAACCAGGTGATGCTTTGGGGGGGGTTTATTAGTTGACCTACATACAGTTCGTTGGATTATGTTTGAAAGGGTTGGTGGCTGCACATGGCCACAGGCTTGGGTTGTGGTGCTACACTAATCCCACACTAAATGGTCTGGCTTCCTCATGTAGTGTGTGCTACCTAGGAGGTTCTGATGCTGAGGTGGAGGTTTCCACAAGACCGTACCTCTGTTAAAAATTTAAGATTTTGTGTGTGTGAAAAGTCTTGTGTTTGATTTTTGATCATCCCCTCCCTCCTGCCAAATAGTAGTAACTGTTGTTTGGTCTTAGGGTCAGTGTGTCTCCTTATCAAGCATTTAGGGAACTTCTGAAAGTAGCTGTAGAGAGTGTTTGTTTTGTTGTCTGGTCTCAAACACAACTCATAAAGATGTACTAGCTGAGGTCGTAACTGATGGAATATGACTGGAAGCATTTGAAAACATAATTTGGGTTATGGAAGATCCAGCAGATGGAGCCCAAGCTAGTAAACATGGCTCAGGTTTATCGAATACTGACAAACAGGGGAAATGCAGTATTTATCTACAAGTGTTGATGCCTCGTTTTTTAGTAGTATAACTTCCATTTGAAATTTTGTGGACTAGCGCTTCTATTTTCAGCAGTATGACCCATATCCTTTTGTCTGATCAGATAACGCATCCTTGTAGCAACTACAGCCTTCCCCAACTAAAAATAGGCAAGCTCTTGTATTTTTAGTTGTCCTGGTGCAGTTCAGCAGCTGGAAATAGGGTGAGTCCAAACTGGATTAGCCAGCTTTCCAGACCACTGGCAACAGCAGTTTGAGCTGGTGTATTAATTCTGCGGTTCCTGCCCCATGTTAAGAAGCAGTTGCTTGGAAGGGGGCTGGCTTGTGGTATTCTAGTAGTTTTCAGGGAGGTTTGTTTTTTAACCTAGCCCTGGTACCTTGTCTTTGAAAGATTCTGTATGGTATGTGGTATTTGTGTGGTAATAAAGATTGGTGTTACTACGCTTCTGAAAAATCTGTACAGATGGGGTACTTAAAAACTGTTGTCCTCTTGCAGAACTTCAGAGGAAGGGGAAATAATCGTGGCTACAAAAACCAATCTCAGGGCTACAACCAGTGGCAGCAGGGTGTAAGTAGTCATAACTTGACCTTTCCACTGATTAAGTTGAATGTTTCAAAATGTTATTTGAAATAATTAGATGTGTGATCAGAACTAGATAGCAAAATCTTCTAATGCTAGGTAATAGGTATATAAATAGTTCCTTCTGCAAATCTGTTCTGATATATCAAATAACAGCTGTGGCTTACTGGTCTTAATGGTATGTAGTATTTGGCTTCACATTACTACTGTGAAGAGAACTCTTTAACTGCCTTCAGTTGTTCTGGAACTTGCTGCTATGTGAGAGTACTTTAATCTTCTCAAGTTCCAGGATAATTAGATGTCTGTTTCTGTAAGAAATGTGACCGTTATGTGATTACGGGTTAAAATTAACTATTTATCCATTTATTGCAGCAATTCTGGGGTCAGAAGCCATGGAGTCAGCATTATCACCAAGGATATTATTGAATACCCAAATAAATGAACTGATACATATTTCTCCAAAACCTTCACAAGAAGTCGACTGTTTTCTTTAGTAGGCTAACTTTTTAAACATTCCACAAGAGGAAGTGCCTGCGGGTTCCTTTTTTAGAAGCTTTGTGGGTTGATTTTTTTTTTTCCTTTCTTTTTTTTGTACATTTTTAATTGCAGTTTTAAAGTGATTCGTAAGAGAACCTCAGCATTGTGCACGATAAGAGAATGTGTCAGTATTTCAGGGTTCTACATTTTATCTGTAAAATGTGACTTTTTTTTTACCACAACAAAAGTAAAACGTTGCTTTGTACCTGGTGTCTTTTTATTAAAGAATTTTCTCCTTTTTCCCCACCGGATTTCTAAGAAACAGTCGTGAGTCATGTCACAATACAATAGAAATGTTAGCAACCAGATTCATACAGAGGCTCCTCAGTAGCCCTCGTGAACACCATCAGATTTTTGTAAAGCTCCATATTACACTCCATCCTCTCTGTGAAGCTTCTGGGTAGGGAGGGGAGGAGGGAGAAGTAAAAGTTTCTGGCAATAACTAGGACTTTTTTGTAATATTTGGAACTCAATAAGATGGGGGGAGGGGGCAAAGAGGAAACCTGGGGCTAAATAGTGAGGGTGGAGTGTATGTAGAAGCTCATAAAGTTGTAAAACTTGGTTGCATTATTTGTGGAGGCTCAAACTTGTGAAGGTACAACACCATAATTTCTTTTCCATTTGTTCTGCATTTTGATTCTGAAAAGAAGCTGGCTTTGCCCATTTCTTATTAAACAAAACTTGTTGTAAATCCAGTTGTCTAATGGGATCTATATGAAGTTAGCTGTGTGTCTGTATAACTTTCCCCACAAAATACTGTATACCTAGTGTGCTTGTAGTAGTTACTCCACCATTTTGTAAGCTAATGAAACTGTGAGTCACCCATTTTATATCTAATTTTTAATCATGTCAATTCTCAAATGGGTGTATCTCCTTAGCCTGCTGATTCCTTTTTCTCTTTAAAGAAAGTGGGTGGAGAAATTTAACTCTAGACGTTTGTTTGCAATAAAATAAATTCATTTTACTCTTGTTTTGGGATTGTCGCCATCAAGGTCTAAAATCCCTTTAAGGCTATAAAGAGGAAGAGAATGTATGACAGCGACGATGTTGGACAGTTTTAAACTCATTACTGTGTACATGCTGAAATGCTTGTGTTTCTTCAAAAATCGAAACTGGTGGTTGCTCTGTTAGAGATATCACGTGTATAATCTCACAGTTTAACATGGTTATATGTGTAGGGCAAAAGTCCCGAGTTGCGCTTGCATCATGTAAATCCACTTAACTATTTATTGTAAAATAGACATTAAGGAAGGAGCAGGGGAAGAAACTGGACAGGGACTAGGGCAGAAGGGGGGTTGTCACGGAGAATGCATCTTGAACAGAGCTTTGTTTTTTTGTTTTAACTGCTATTTTGTTTAGGTTTATGCTTTTGTAAAACTGTAGTGGCGATGTTAGTTGCTGATTTCCTTGCGCTGTCTGTGCCCTGAGGCAGGGAGAGGCGGCTGTCCCCAGCGGCCCCGCCCAGAGCTAGAGCCAGCCCAGCCTGCGGCAAGCTTCCTCTAGTGCTAGTCCATTTCTAATAGTCTTCAGAAGTAAAGGTAAAGTTGTGTTGCTCTTCTAGCCTTTATAGCAGATGACATTGCATATTGACATTAAACATGAACAGCACCACCTCCTTGTTAATTCTGCTTTAAATCATCCCTTTACTTTGAGAAAAATGTAAACTGTCTTTAAAGAAACACTATATGATGAACTAGAAATGTGGGGACTCTAAACCCCAGTCTGTTTTGCTGAAATGAAACTTTCTTTAGGTTTGCAAAGAGTTTAGTGTAATTAAAGTCCATCTCCCTTCTACCCTTCTCACAAGAACTAACACTTTGTATGGAGTGCTGATCCTTTGCTTATTTTGGTACTCTATAAAATTATATAGTCTTAAACTGAAATATAAGAGCCTACACTTACTATGTGGTTGTAAAGCTTGTATTTTAATTCAAAAGTCTGGGATGTTTTGTTTTCAATTCTTGAATGTATGGTGTTTAAAAAGCAAGGCACACATGAAGGAAGTGCTTCAGCCATCTTACACTTGAAAGAGGAGTATCTACCAAAAATACTCCTGTGTGGAAAAAAAGCTGTTTTGATAAGTTCAGCAATGTACATGCTGCCTGTTTTCTGAGGTATGGAATTCAAAAAGCTTGAACATAAACACCACTGAGGCACGTGCAGTTCAGAAAGGGGTTAACAAAGTAAATATTTCCCTGCCCCTTGCCATTGCAGAGCAGAGAGACTCCTTCAATTTATCTTGGCTCAAATTACTTCTAGAGAAGGGGTTTATTTTGCCATGTAAAATGGCTTGTATGGAAAAGCCATTACCTAACAAATCACTAGGATTGAGGGAGAAAACCAAAACTTAAATTCGCAGTTTGTGTCTAGTAAAAGGCAATAGAAAGCTGATGGCCACAGCAAGGTGAGGCAAGCACAGCTGCATGTCACTGCAATGTGAGGAAAAGTGCCCACAATACTGTGGTCATGCTGGCAATACTGGAGACACCAGTGACATATGGCACAGGGATTGGGTTTGCATTTGTTGGTTTTTTTTCCCTAATGGAGTACAAACTGTGTTTGCTTTTTTCTAAGTTTTTTTCTAACAGTGCAAACCTTGAGAGCCTAGGAGCTAGTCTGGTGCTGGGAACGTGGCGTGCGTCTGTGCAGCTACTAGCACCAGTAGTGCTGCTGGTGGCTCTCTCCCTGTCGGCCTTGCCTGGGGGAGCTGTTGACACCCTGTCTCCCAGTGGGCTGGGGCCACACCCGCTGAGCTGGAGGCCAAAGGCAGGTCTGTGTGCTGGGCATCTCGGGAGGGACTTCGCACTTCAATCCTCCAGCTGTAGCTCTGCCTGCTCTAGTAGCAGTCACTTGGACACGCACCCTGTAAATGAAGGTGCTCCCCTGGCAAGGGGCTGTGTCCTGGGCGCTCTGAGAGTAAATGGACTCTTACCTGTGGGGCACTGGGGCCTGGCTTCCCTTCTCGTGTGCTGTGGGAGATCCCTGTCCCCAGCGCTCGGCTCTGCCGCAGGGAGCCGTCTCTCCTCGCGCTGCGCCGCGGGGAGCCCTGGACAATGCCCTCGTGTGCGTGCGGGAGCTCGCTGCGAGTGGCGCCTTCCCTTCCGCTGCCCATTGCAGAATAATTCTTGATCAGCAAAGACATTTTTAGAAATTCTGCCTAATTTTTTCTGAATTAAACCTGTGGTCTGGCAATGCTAGTGCAGTCTATGCCACTTGCATTAAAAAAACAATGTCTTTTTCACACTGTAAACCACTAGTGGGGTTTTTTTTCATCTCTTGAAACACTCTTGGCCAGTGCTTTTAATAGAAGTGTGATTATGTCATGTTTTAAGATTTGGAGGTTTGCTTGTTCATGACCTGGAAAACTAGGCCGGTGCTTTTCAGAAGTGCAACCTCAGACTAAGCCATAAGAAACGAAATTGAGAAAAGTCGTGAGGTACTTTAATACTGCTCCAGATGTTTCACTGCCAAGGGTTGGACTCTCCCAAGTGAAGAAATGCATGTATACTGTAGTTGTGAGGTAGCAAGGGAGGAGTAAGTATGGCTGGAGCTGTCTCAGCCTGAAGCACGGTAGAGGATGTGGAGAACTCCAGGACGTCAGGCAAAGCCTCTGAGAGGAAAGCAGAAATTGAGCAGGTTTGTGACTCGAGTGCCAACAAACCAGCTGTGATGAAGGCAGAGGACAAAGCCATGGGCGCAGGAGGGAAGGAGGCCTCTATTTTAACAGCAGAGCAGCGGTCGGTCCTGTGCAGCTCTTCTCCTTGGCTCGGTGGCCAAGGCCCGGGCTGGCTCCCGCAGTGCAGCAGGCCTCTCTGGGGCCAGCCGCTGCAGGAAGCTGGCTGAAATCGGGACTTGGCCGGTCACTAGTCTGGATGTGGCTGCTGCCTGAGTTTTGTCTTCTCGCCAGTCCTGGGAGTGGCAGGAAGATTCAGCAATGAATCACTTGTTGTGTGAACTCAGCTGTAGCTTAAATAAAGATGCTAAATGCTTAACGCATTGTCAGCATCAAGGGAGAAAAAAACAAGGGCAAATGTAAAAAACCTAGTCGTATAATTACTCATGCAGGTGACTCGATATACAAGTGTTACTTTAGAGCAAGTAGTTTGTTCTTTTCTGGTTTTCTGTTTAGTAGACAATCTTTGATCTGCAGGTTTTGGTCCTAGAAGTTACTGAGTCAGAACTACAGGTAAAACAGCTCAGCCTATTTTTCATTCAAGCTTTTTCATGCTCAAAGAATTTTTATGACTTGGTAGTCAAGGGCAGATGCAATTTACACTGATTATTTGGGGATCTGCTGCCCATTTAGCACACAAGGACTGAAAGGGCACTTGTTTTTCTCAGCATTAATTCTCCCTTAGTTAGGATCAGATGGCTGCTTACTAGGACACCTCTGATAAATAATGTGCCATAAAAATCCAAGGATCTGTTCTCTGGTCTGAGCATGGCCTTCATTTATGTCACATTAGTTTAGCTCTTCTGCCACTCTGTGCCGTGGAGGTTTTCCACAAAGTTCTAACAAACGTTTGTCTTGGGCATGAGGAGGTGCACTGATGGAGCATGAGTTCTGAAATGGTGCTGGTGCCCAAGAGAGCTGCGAAATAAAAAGGCCCAGAATAGTACTGAAGGTCTCCTTGGATGTAAATGCATGCTTAAAATACCAGTGAATGTTTACAAGGTGAGAGATGCACAAAAGGCTTGATTCCCTTTGTTTAGTCTCCATGTAACCTATTCAGATGCAGGCTAGAGCTACATTCAGGCTCTGCTGAACTTTCAGCTCTGTGGGGCTATTGAGAAAGTCAGTAAGATAAACCCTTGTACTATAAAAGGACTTTTGTCTTTGTGGTAAGAAGGTAGTAAGAGATGGGGGAGAGGAAATGAGCAAGCCCTGCTGGAGGGATTTACTGTAATATTTTTTTTTCTGAAAGAAAGAATGGGGTTTGCTCACATTGTGCTGACAAACAGTTGAGCTAGCAGAGGCAGGTCCACACGCAGCACTGTGGGCAGGTTGTGAGCAGCAGAGCCATGTACCCAAAGCCTGGCACCTCCATGCTGTGCTTGCTCTCTCCTCTGCTTCATGCTCCCTGCTGCTTTTGGAGCACCTGAGGTGCTGTGGGGCCTGCAGCCCAGCCTGGAACCACTGCATTGGATGGAATGAATTCCTGAATGCAAAATGGATGGTATTGTGTGGGTGGTCCTCTGCACCACACTGGGCTTTTTCCTCCCTTGGGTTCTGCTGGTTCTGTTTCTCAGCTGGTTGCAGAATCACAGAAATGTTGTTTGCAAGGCCCTCTAGAGATGTAGTCCATCCTTCTGCTTGCAGCAGGACTGGCACCAGTACTCAGGTCAGCTGGAGCTTTATCTAGCTGAAGCCTGAAAAGCTGCAAGGGTGCAAATTGCATGACCTTTCTGGGCAACCTGTCGCAGTGCTGCGTTGCCCTTATGGTAAAACGTGCTGTCCTGCTGCCTGGCCTGAAGCTCCCAAGCTACAGTTTGTGGCCACTGCCCCTGCTGCATCATCTGCAACTATGAAAGGGTGTTTGGCTCCATCTTTGTAATTGTCCTGCAGTAAATGTTAGGCAGTTATTAGGTCACCCTACAGCCTGCTGCTCCTCAGACTAAGCGCAACTCCTTGCACCGTTTTTCCAGAGGGCATGCACTTGAGCTCCCTGAACACCTCAGGAGTCCTTCACTGGAGCCTCTACAGTTTGACATCCTGGTTGACGAAGAGGCCCAAAGGTAGACAGCAATATTAGACACACTGCCTCAGCAGTGTCATGTGCTGAGGGATAAGCGATTTGTTTGCCACATACTTCCTGATGGAGCGCAGACCGTGGTTTGCCTTATTTGCAGTGAGAACACTCTCTTGGCCCACATTCAACTTGGCGTCCACTGTAAGTCCTGTGCTTTTCAGCAGGGTGGCTATTCAGTTTGCTGCTTCCCAGCCTCTAGTGTATGCTCTGTTACGTAAGCTGCTACCCTGCAATAATAATAGTATTTTTAAAATTTAATTTATTAAATTGTTAAATAGTCAAGCACCTAAAAGACAAATATTAGATGTTTAGTATTAGATTTACTTGTGCAAATTAAATGTCTTGTTAATTCTCCCTGCTTGCTCTGAGACCTCAGAGAA